TCACGAGGACCCAACTAGCTAAAGTGCTTCAGGCGTCCTTCACGGAGGTTCCAGTCAACTGCAGCACCCTGCGGAACGTGGGCAACTTCAAGGAACTCCTTCAGGGCCGCGTCAATCGTGTCCCAGACATCACGACCTACAGGGCTTTCCGGGTTGAAAAAGGCGGTGATGGGCGGGTGAAGGTTCGGGTGAAGCATCACATGCACGGCACCGAATTTTTGAAGTAAGCCTTACATGGCGACAGTTTCTTAACGGGAGACGAGACCACGAAAAAGAAAAATCCGGGCTCTACAACAGCGCTTTGATCTTTCGTGCCATGCGCACGGCACAGAGGGGTGGGTTTATCATTTATTGGCATAGCTCTCGGGTCCGGGGCATCTTGTTGCCGTTTAGCTCTGAGGTGCGCCGGGCGTTCTGCCTCCGCGAAGCCGCAGCCTAAGACGGTCTTGGATGCAACGAACAACACTGCTTTGCTTACCAGCGTGTAAGATAAAGTTACACCATTAGACTAGTCAGCGCTGACTAGTCTACTGGTGAAACTTTATCTTACAAAAGATATACGCTCAGATCGTTAGCACCCGGCTGGATCACTTGGGTTTATGGCTTGGGATTGAGAGCAGGGATCTCCGGGGCCGGACCCCTCGCCACACGCTGCCTTCATCAGCGCTTGGCGAGGGGTACGTCCTAGACAAATGCTTTAACAATTTGCGACAAAAGTTTCACGCACGGGTTCGAATCTCGGCCACTCACTTTCCCAAGCACCATTATGTTCTTTTCAGTCAGCGCCTGGCGAGGGGTCCGTCCCCCGAGATCCCTGCTCTCAATAAGCCATAAACCCAAGTGATCCAGCCGGGTGCTAACGAGCTGAGGGTATATCTTTTGTAAGATAAAGTTTCACCATTAGACTAGTCAGCTGACTAGTCTAATGGTGTAACTTTAACTTACACAGCGGCGAGCGATCCACGTGGACGGGTCTATCCTCTGAAAAGGAACCTCACCCATGCCAAACCATTGTTTCGGCTGAAGTTTCCTACCTTCGAATGGAGCCCAAGTACTTAACGCAATCAACCTCTATTCCATGCCCACAGACTGTCCTGGGGTGCTCATTCCCGCTGAGCAATGGCCCCTCGATCTTTCTCTGTTGTCGACGCTCTACGCCTATGCCCCCATCCATCTTCCCAGACGACGCAGGCGCGCAAAGAGCAAAGAACGAACAGCTATATTCCGTGCGGCGTCTCAAGGAGACGGGGGTGCGAGAGTTCGACCTTCCAATACACTGGCTTCCTGACGACTACGGCGGAGCGGAATCTGGTGTCGGCATCGGCGATGACATCGAAGAGGAAGACGGTTCGGGGGGTCCCGGTGATCGTGGTGGGGGCGACGAAACGGATGCGTCAGACAGTGACGCGGAGGAAGCTGACTTCGTTCGAAGGGGTCGTTCTCGTGCCATCGGAAGGTCGGCCAATGATTGGGACGTCGTTCGTGTCGAGGAGGGCAGTTTTGCCGTCTTCGTGGCGAGGGGGGCTCCGTTCTTGGTTGGTAGGATAGTTGCGGAGTGCGTTGACCGCGACGGAAAGCGGGGTGTGGATCTGCACTGGTTTCGCCCGACCAACGACCACACGCGCGACAACGACGTGTCCCTGACGCTTGACAAGTACTGTGGCAATAGCGACAGGGAGAGAAGGGGAGGATTGGGGGTGGGATTGGTGAGGATGAACGCCCCGGCATCATGGAGGACAAGAACGAGACTGGGGAACAACAGCCGGAGAACGAGTCCGTGAGCGCTGAGCACGATCAAGAGATGGGGCGCGTTGTGACGAGTAGGTCAGGGGGAGGTGGTGGTGGGGAAGAGGGAGGAGGATCGCCCACCGGTGCAGGGGCAAGAAGAGAGGAGTCCCTCCAGGGAGCCGTGGAAGAGCCCGCACTTGACGCGGACAGAGCAAGTGGCCGTGCAGGGGTGCGAAAGCGACCGCACTCAGACACGCAGCTTACCCAGCAAAACACTCGAGTTCGGTTGACAGCTGCACACGTTATATTCGATAAAGGTTGACCATTTGACTACGTGCATGGTCATCGATGACTAGTCTAGTCTATCTAATGGTGTAACTTTATCTTACAAAATATATGCTCAGAGCTCATTTGCACCCGGCAGGATCACACATTGGGTTGAGAGAGTAGCTGGGGATCTCCGGGGACCCCTCGCCAGGCGCTGCCAGAAATACTTAATGGTGCTTGGGAAAGTGACCAGTAGGGTTTTGAACCCGTGCGTGAATTCTTTATCGCCAACTGTAAACCGTTAGACTGTGCACGTAGTCAAATGGTCAGCCTTTCTTCATCGAATAAAGGATTCACGCACGGGTTCGAAACCCAGAGAATCGCTTTCAAGGCACCATTATCGGCTAATAGCAGCATCTTATGGCGAGGTGGACCGTGCGTGAATCCTTTATCGCCAACTGTAAACCGTTAGAGTGTGCACGTAGTCAAATGGTCAGCCTTTCTTCATCGAATAAAGGATTCACGCACGGGTTCGAAACCCAGAGAATCGCTTCCAAGGCACCATGATCGGCAAATAGCAGCATCTTATGGCGAGGTGTCCGGCCCCGGAGATCACTACACCCTATCAGATCCACTGGGATTGGCTACGAGCCGAGAGTGTATCGTATCGTTTATTGGATGAAGGCTGACCATTTGACTACGTGCATCGTCAGCGCTGGCTGATCTAGACTTATGGTGTAACTTTGGTCCCGTCGTTGGTAGAAGTGTGAGTGAAGTTTCGGTATCCCCCGCCGTTTTGTTTGTCCTCAAGCATGTATGTAATTACCTGCATGTATGAAATTACCTATGATCTTCTGGCGCCATTGATTGAATACGCTGATGATGGTAGCATTGTGGTCGTGGTGGAGGTGTTGACGAGACCATGACTGGATGGAGGAGGAGGCAATCACGTGTGTATATTGTTGTGGAATGTGCAGAGATGACAAGAAATCTCCCCAACGATGCATGATGCTCATGAATTCACACGAAAGTAGTGCTCCCTGGACAAACGTGAAAAATGAAGAAAACATCGATCGAGGCTTTTCGTTCACGACAGGCAGCACGTCGTTTAACGAGCAAACTCCGTATGTATGTATATGGATATGCTCAGTCGGTTCTCTCTGCTTCTGCTTTCTGCTGCTGCTGCTTGCTTCATTGAGAATTATGTCATTCTTCTTCCCGTCTGCACTCATCATCATACGCAGCGCCGAACGAACATTTACCACAAGAACATTTCCGAGTTTGCAGTTGCTGGAAACATTTTCGCGTGCGTATCATCCTCAACGAAAAGCACCATCCTCAACGTAGATGTTAGGCTGTTTCATGCTTCCAAGTCTCCAATTCCCACCGTTGTAAACCTCGATTAGTGGCCGCGGTAATAATTGCAATCTCCGTAGATCCATGTCCCATATTCAACCATCATTACTATGCTACGAGTATGTCTTACACACTACATTACCAACAACGCACCTACATATCATACGACACGAGCTCGATAACAAACAGTCGATCTGCTCCAAACAACAACTTATCAGACAGGGCCACGGCTTGTCAGGGGGGGATGAAGAAAGCCGAAGCTACACATCATATCTATTTGTCTTCGTTGTGCAGCAAGACAACTCAACAACACACGAGATAAATATATCTTCAGTTGGTGGTGTGCACTGGCCCTCCCCTACAGCTATATTTACTACTACGCCTTCCGTGACGTTCACTACGCTTCCTCCCTAGTCTATAGCCCAACGAGCTTCATCGTCACTCCTTTGCGGAAGCAAAGCAGGAGAAACCACTTAACCCTTTCGTGACTACACCCCCCAATCGTGCATGTTAGCATGCACGATAACTCTTATATGCGACAATTTTCGAACCGAATGGAGCTGTGGATACCTGCATCGACGACCGCTCGACGGTACGACTAGACCGCTCGAAAAGAAACAAAGTAACGACCGGGGACAGCAAAAGCACGTCCCCTATACAGAAAATTGAAAGCCTGGGAGTTGCAATGCTCCGCAGCACCCTGCATCCCGCGCTGCTGCTGTGCTGCTGTGGACCTCAGTCCAGCACGCAGAAACGCGATCATGAGGCCGCTTTTCCTCCTGCTTGTTGCGATTTTTCGCACGAGCGCTATGGACACCCCTGCTGTGGAATCGGACCACATATCTCTGTCGCACGTTCGCAAGGAACAGGAGCTAGCCCCCGTGCCTTCGCGTTTTTGAGAGGGTTTTCGTGGCATGCATGATAAAACCTGTCTTTATCTGGTACGAAAAATCATGCTCTCGCTGTTGAGTTGTGTGCCCTCTTCCTTGCCTTCGGAATGTGGTTGCAGAACTGAAGGCCAAGCTTACGAGGCCTCTCCCCGAGTTCTCCTGCGCGAGTGTGCGTTCGAGTGTTTTCCTTGTCCGTCTTCAACCAACTGCCACCACAAGGCATAGTCTATCTCTCGCGCGGCTCGTGCTTGCTGCTGCTGCTGCTGCCGCGGGCTGCTGCTGCTGCTGCTGCCGCTTTTTCATTTCGTTTCGCATGCATGCATCCCAACAAACCGTACGTGCGTGTGTGCTTCTTGTCTCCAAAGGATTTCCCACCCAACCAAGTGGCATTGGAGGCGGTGCCACATGCCTTGCGCCAGTGTGCTGCATCGGCGGCGGGGTAGCGTGACATGTAGAACTGCTGTGCATGCGATGTATGTCTACTGCTGCTGCTGTATCCATGTAGTCTATGCCATCATCATGTAATAATCGTGTTTGGGGTAAAGAAATACGGCGCCCTCTCCTCTCTCTCCTCCGGTTTCCAACAGCACCTACAACAGCAGTACAGCAGTGTAGTTATCGGTCACCCATCACAGTCTTCACGTGAGGGTTACGCTGCTGTTGGGCACTAAACCTTTGTGGCACCACGGGGTGCGTGCGGTTGACCTGTGTAGGAACCTGTTGGTGCGCAAACGTGCAAACGTTCAAGTGTGTGTGTCGTGTGTGTCTCATGACTCATCGGTCTATTCGATCCCGGCAGAACAAAAAAAACCGCGAAAGATCCAGAAAGAACCCAGTCACGAAAGGGTTAAGCGTCGTGATCACCTCATTGTTCCTCCGACATGAAACTATTGGCACGAATCCAGCGAAGACACAGGTAGGTACAAACTCGAGCGTTTGAAGTTGAAACTACCTTACTTACCCAGGCCCGTGCACCAAGGTGTGCCACTTTATGCATTCCCAAGCTCAGCTACAAAGCTTTCCGTGTTGTCAACGAAATCGCAAAAACACTCGCGGATCACAAATAAATGTAACCCGCAAGTCGCCATTCCTCCGCAGGTATCCGCGAGCTCTCCGACTCAAAAGTATACAAATTCGAAACCTCCCCGTCACACTGCTGTACATTTTTAGACATATTTTGTCCCCCCAGCTTCAACCTCTCACACTTACTTGTGTTCTATGGATCATACGCTGCCCCCACTGGTTCGATAGCAACATGGTGAGTAGCCTCGGTTCCCCCTCGTTGATGAGTGACGAGGTATGTATGCCGTACATGGCGTATGTATGTAGTACAATGAACAATTCCATCCCTGCCAACCTGCGTGTAGGACTCTCCGAGTACAGGGCGCGAAGGAGCCCGGTAACGATACACCTCGGCTGCAGCAACGGGAGCCTCGTGCATGCATAAACGTGCGTCGGAATCGCTCGTTATACATAGGCACGTTCGTTCCGTTTCAAGTTCAGCGCCTAAGAGGTGTGGGCGTCTTGAACGAAGTCCACGCCAAGAGCTCCATCCACACGGTCTGCCAAACCAAGAGGGAACAAAAATAGCATCGAGTTTCAGATGATAAAAAGGTAGAAAATGGGCTCACCTGATGGACGACAATAAAAGAAATGGAGAAATACACGCACAGGAAGTAGGAAAGCGCACAATGCCAACCTGCATGGTGAGGATTCGGAGTTGGGTGTGGAAAATAGAGACCGTTTCTCACCCTTGGCACAGCTCGACAACGATCGATCATGACTTCGACCCGATGAGAAAGTACATCATTGCAAGGCAAATACCGGACGGGAATAGTCTTGATGCGTGCTTCAGGGTAGTTCCTGGGGCAGATTAGTCGGGTGGCTCCCCCCAAACAAACCAGCCGCCTGTGTGTATACGGATACTAGATACTACGTGATGTTGACTTATGATAGAAGCACCATCAGACTGTGCATACGAGACGACCACAGCCGTAGGAGCAACAGCTTTTATCGAGCCCATAAACTGTTGAGACGGGTCTGCGGCACGCCCTCAGGGTAACAAGGCGCAGACCCCCAACGTTTTCGACGTCGACCAGGGCATGAGATTGACACAGCTGTATCAGGAATGAATGTATCCATAGTATTGGCGATTGAATTCCCAAAACAAGGGCATCAAATATGCTGTTGGAAGGACGACGTACTGTAGTGCTTGCAGAGGTTAGACATGCTCTCGTAAGCGCAGAGGGCAACGCAAGTGTCGTGCTCAAAGTAGTCGGCGTACACTACTGGCTCCAAAAACGTAGGACACGCCAGAAATATGAAACATGAATCATTCATTTTGACCAGAAAAAAAAATGACCGGGAGGAGAAAAGATACCCAGCCTATACACATACATCGTTGCGGCAGCAACGTGTTGAGCCTCGCCCGAAATAGGTTTCATACAACAAGCGGGCCGGCACTGTATTCGAGAGATAACACCCGAGCTTCGCTGTACTTGTGTTGACTCCTGCACGCCTACAGCGAGAGCAGAGGGAGACGACATAATCACAATAGAGCCAACGGGTAACACGATTTGTGTCCAGCTCCAAACACACGTCGTGTTCTTCTGTGCCACGTTGACCGGCCAGTTGTTTGAGGACACCGCAAAAGCATGAACTACACGTCCGTCAGCATCAACACCGACTGAAGGACATTCATTCCCGCCGACAACTTACAGTCTTCCTCCGATCCGCGGATCGCCTCCAAGCCGGTCATGATGGGCTTGCCGTCCGCGTCACGCGTCGGCACGAACGTTTGCCCGAGGATGCCCTTGGCAGCGTGGCTCACCTGGGTACAGCGGCAGCAGCAACAAGGAACGCTTTCGGTTGGGGTTTCCTTTTGGAGATGTATCGTCATGTCCGTCTGGCGACCTCCCTTGCGTACGAGGGGGATGGACTAGGGCCATGCCCGCAATGCAACCCGTACGCGACAATGTGCGACATGGTGAGGTGCCATTGAGCTGCCGCCACATCACTAGTAAAAAAACCCTCCCCCCCCCCCCCCCCCCCCCCCCCCC